TGTTTTCTTAGTCCCTTCACTCCATTTTAAGTCTTCGAACTACGCTTAACTTCTCTGATAGCATGCTAACATTGAACTAAAAAGTGGAATGTTATGAAAACCCTTTTCTGTAATCAGTGTTTCCACAGGACCAGCAGGGGGCAATAGCGTACCAAGAATCGTGAAGACTGTCCCAGGCTCTGAGAAACTGTTGGATTGCTGCACTGGGTCTGCGTGCGCCGCCACCGCGATGATCTCAGCTCGGAGCTGTGGTCTTTTGTCTTGTGTCCTGTTTCACAATGCGCCGTTCAGTTTTCTATATGAGTTGTGACTTACACAGCATTTCGCTGTGCCAGTTTCGCTTAAGAAAAACAAGTGAAAGAGAAAATTAAAATGCTGCCAAATGAAACACGTAAAGTCAAGGAAGAAGTAATGGTACATTCATTTAAAGTTTGTCCCTTCTCCGCTCCCATCCACTTAAATCCTGAAGTTTTTTTCTGGATTACAGACTTAATTCATCCCCGCGCCTCCTCCTATATGGACATCTATTTCATACTAGTTTCTCTGCCAAACAATTTTCTGTTCTTTTTTTTTTATTATTTTGGGCCTATTTGTTTAAAAAAAAGTGTGGGAGGGGGTGCGACAAATACTTAACTTTAAAAGAATCAAAAATACTTTTCTCTGTAGTCAAGCCTCCTAGTAGCAAATTTTAATGTTCTCTACACTTTTTGAACATTTTATTTCAATGATCTATTTCAAAACAATTCTTCCCCTGTAAATGCACACCTTCATACAAGTAGTAAAAAGCTATGAAGCTGTATCTGATGTGTCTGGGGGAGAATCTAGAGTAGACACTAAAACATCAGCAATTTGAAGGATCATTTACATTGCATTGTGAGGTGTTTCATAAACCAATCTTCAAAACCAGCAGAGATGAAACTACTTTCATGCATAATTTGAGTTGTGCCCCAAAATATAAGCCTGGTTTCCTCTACTATCTAGGCTAGCATACCTCGAGTTATTAAAGTATTCCCTTGTAGTTATTCATTTAGGACTGTGAGATGGCAGAAGTAATGTTATTTTCAAGACCTGGCACTAAAATTCCTGTCAAAGGGGTGGCCTTGTGCCCTCCCTGAGACTGAGAGGGCTCTATCCATCCTGTTGATCCTCCCCTTTGGCCAATTTCCCACTCTTCTCCTTGCTGGCCTTGGAAAACACAACAGGTAGCCTAGTGTGTCAGGGCCTTTGCTTCAGCTGTTCTCTCCCCCGGGACAAGTCTTAACCTTGCTTACCCAAATAGTTCAGTCGTGCACCTACTTCAACAGTCTGTGTGAACATCGCCTTCTCAGTGAAGCCTTCCCTGACTACCTGTTTAAAATGGAATATTCTGTCCCACATTTCCTATCCCCCCTTTCTCTTTAATTTCCTCAATAGTACTTACCATCATCAGATATGCTAAATATTACATATATAAATATAACATGAGATGAGACATCTGAAACCAAACATATCATCCAATAGAGGGCTTGACCCCACTATTACAAGGACAAATCAAAACCCAACTCTATGCTGCACAGAAAAGACTAAAAAAAACCAATGCTAATAGAAAATAATTCAGAAATGCTAACAATGAAAAAAAATGGAAAAAAGGTATACCAACAAAATGCAAATAAGAATAACAAACAGAGATTTTGAAATCCAATTAAGTAGAATTCAGACCAAAACCATTACCAAGACAAAGGGCACCTTATAATGCTAATAGCCACAATTCACAGTGAAAATTAAATATTTATGGAAGATTTGCAAGAAATAGTGCAGCTTCTTTCATGTGGCAGAAACTACAAGAGAAGATTCAAATAGAACAGAAATACATACATAATAGCAGACTTTAGTACACTTTTCTTAGTATGTAACCAAAAAAATTATGCAAAGAACATTTATGATAATTGACCCTATAATTTACATATAGAGACAAGTATATCCCAATAATTAAATTAAAAATACAAATAATATTCTCCATTGACCATATGATAAAAGTAGGAATCCATAACAATCAAAACATAAGAAAGCCTTACCAGCTTAAAATTTTTAAATTTTTCATGATCTATTTTTTTATTATTGTTGTTCAAGTACAGTTGTCTCCATTTTTCCCTTACCACTCACCACCACCCCACATATCCCCACCTCTCACCCTCAATCCTACCCTTCTCTGGCTTTGTCCATATGCCCTTTAAACATGTTCCTTGATGACGCTTCCCCTTTTTCCCATTGTCCCCACCCTCACCCCAGTTAAACATAGGTTGGCTCAAGGGGAAATACTAACTGATATTGAGAATTTCAAGAAAAGAAAATAATGAAATGACATCAGAGTCTATGAAATACTGCTAAAAATGTTCAGAATAAAGTTCATAGATTTATTTACATCATTAAAAATAAAACATTGTACTCAAAAAGTTAGAAATATTTAAAACTTGCTTTATTTTTCCCAGTTTGGATTTAATTATTTTTTTAATTAAACAATCTAGGTTTGAAAACAACCTAAAACAAACCTAGCTGTATGAAACAGCATTTAGCAATTTCACAATTAAGTATAATATTGGTACTGCTATTCTGAAACTGTTATATGTATGGTAGAAAAAATAAATGAGCAATTGTGTTCATACAGTATAAGAACCACGCTTTTCACCAGAGAAAAAGATGTGTAATATAAAATTAAATAAGTAAAGAATTCTTTAATCTTTCATTAAATTTGCTGCATAAGCACACATTTATTATTTATCTTTATCTTTCTTTGAAAAACTACTTATTTTCTACATCTTGTACTGAAAAGTCTGAGAAGTAGCAGCAACTCGTTTAGCCATGAACACCCGTAAGTGTACAGATTGTGGTCAGCAAACACCATTTTCACTGAACACAATGAAGGCTCCTTTGAGAAATGGTTGATTAAGTATGGAACAGTAAACGAGGCTGTTCCAATATGACAATGGGACTCTTCCATTGTCCAAAAGCAAGGAAGCCATAGAAACATTCGCAGTTGTCAAATGAACATCGAAGCCCAACATGCACAATTTGAGCTTTAAGATGAGTAGTTATTGTAATTATATAAAGGTGTAAATAAATATGCCAATAGAATTGATGGATAACTAGATGAAATAGGAGGTTCAATATGTTGCAGGATATAAAGTAACATATAGAAATCAATACCTTCATGTATTTAAGCAATAACATCTAAAGGAAAAAGTAGGAGAGATTACCTCATTTACATTACCAACAAAAATAAAATATAACCATAGTAATTGATAAATTTAACAAGAAATGTACAAAACTTATATGAGAGAAACTTAAAAGCTTCCCTGAAAGACACAAAACTGGGACTTGAAAAAAAGGGAAAGTAACATTGCTCATCAGTAGAATAATGCAAAATCATAAATTGATACCAATACTTATTTTTATAGAGCTAGAATCTATAGTTTATTTTTTTTCTTAGCTGTGTGTTTTGCATGGCCTCCTGCACTTTCCCTGTGTGCTTTAGAGATTTTATTTATTTATTTTTAGAGAGGGAAGGGAAGGAGATAGAGAGAGAGAGAAACATCAATGTGCGGTTGCTGGGGGTCATGGCCTGCAACCCAGGCATGTGCCCTGACTGGGAATCGAACCTGGGACGCTTTGGTTCGCGGCGCTCAATTCACTGAGCTACGCCAGCCAGGGCTTATAGTTTATTTTAAAAAAATGAATAAGCAAGAATATCCAAGAAATAGGAAAAAGTAACCAAACAAAAAATAGCAATAAGGCAGGCCCAGCTCTAACAGATATTAGAGTACACTATATAGTTTGTGTAATTAAAATGGTATACTGTTAGCATATGAGTAGACAATCAGATCAATGGAAAAAGTAGAAAATATAGACATAGCCCCAAGTACAATGTGAAAATTTATGTATGTGACAAAAGTGGTCTTTCAAATCACTGGGAGAAAATTTGAGTTTTAAAAATTAAACATTGTTAGAACCGCTATATAGCCCCTTTAAAATAGGTAAAATTGAACATAACAACACATAGGTGAAATTCCAGACCCCCCAAAACAAAAATGTTCAACATGAATCTTATCATGAGAACCAATCTGAGTATCTGAAAAAACCACTGGCCTGAACTTCTAAAATATGTCCATACCAGAAAAAAAAAAAACATACAAAGAAAGGGTATGGAAGTATGCTAATTGAAAGAAAGGAAAGGGACTTGATAACTAGTAAATGTAACGTGTGATCCTTGTTAAATCCTGGACTTATATTTATAAACAATAGGATAAGCAAGGATTTTTTTTTTTTTTTTTTTTTGCAGCGTAGGGGCATGGGGAGGGGTTAATTGAGGAAATTCGAATACAGACTACGTTTACTAATTTGATGTGTGCAGTGGATACCGACTTCCTATGTCTGAAGAACCTAATGGTGTATTTATTTTTTGAGGATACTGTATTGCATGATCCTATATTGCAGTAGTCCTCACTATGGGCAATTTGGCCCAACTCTCAGACACATGCATTTGACAATGTCTGTAAACATTTTTGGTTGTCACAACTGGGGGAGGGGAGAGTTGCTACTGGAATCTAGGGTATAAAGGCCAGGAGTGCCATTCAAAATCGCACAATGTCCAAGACCGTTCCCCTGCCCCCACAACAAAGAATCATTCAGTCCAAAATGTCAGTAGTGCTGTGTTGGAGAGCGCTGATTTTAGAGAACTCCAATTCTTAGTGGACAGGTACTGATAGGATAGACTGAATTAAATGAAATTGTTAGCGCAGATCACATGTTAGTAATATTTAAAAGTTAAAGGTTACGACGTGCACAACTAACTCAAAATGTTCCCCAAAAACACTGTTCGTGTCCTTCCGCCCTGGCTTCCTTCCATCCTTGGGGACCGAGGGTCGCACTCCTCCCTGGCGGGGCTCACCCGCAGAGCCTGCGCCCTGAGCACCCGCTGCAGAGGCCTCTGCGCATGCGCTGAGCGGCCAGCCGCGCCCACGCAGCGCTGCTTCAAAAGTTACAGACAAGCTGGCGGAGTGTGCAGCGACCGCGCAGCTGCCCACCACCGAGAAGAGGGAAGGAAACTCCCGCGGCAGGGGGTTGGCTTCTCCGGGGTGAGGACTGTGCATTCCCAGCTCAAGCCCGGAAACCTCCTTCCTTGTGATCCTCGGAGGGCGGCAGGGAGCGCGCTCATCCTTTCTGAGCCCCCACCAGCAGGAGCCAGCTGTGTGTGGGCCCACGCTGCGGGCATCCCCTTCCAGGCAGGACCCCCAGAGGTGAGTTCTGCACTCTCGGTAGGGGAGGCCGACTTCCTGTGTCTGACAAGCCCGGGCGGTGCTGCCTCTCATGGTACAGCTGCAGGAAAGTGCCGAGGCAGGCTCCTTCCCCGCTGGGCTCGCCGGGAGCGCCTACCCAGTTAGACTCCAAAATACCTCAACTTCTCAGCCTGCTTCTCTGAATCAAAGAGTTGGCTTTTTCTAAAAAGAACCGGATAGCAAATATTTTTGGATTTTTAGTCCAGGACCAGTCTCTATCTCCTATTTGGCTTTTTTTTCTCTTTTTACTTTTCTTTTTTTTAACAACCTCATAAAAATGTAAAAACAACTCTTAGCTCCTGGCCTAACAAAAATATGAGGATGACAGTGATTAGACTCTGATCATTCCCTTCCCCCAGCGAGGAGGTTGGAGCTTGCATCCTAACCCCAGTGTTGCAGTAAGGACTCGGTTCCGTGAGGACTGCGACTCTCCTGCCCCGGTTTAGTTCACAGTCTTTTAGGTCCACACACCTGCACCTCTGCTCCTCCTTCCCGCTGGGTTGCTGGTGGTGAGCTCCTGCTGAGCAGCCAGGCCACCAGGAAACCCCCAGACCAGCTGCCACGCCCTGCTTTAAAATGACAGTCTCTTATCTAGGACCAAAGCCCAAGTACTCACATTGTGAATAAACTAGGATGAAAGTAATACAGATGTATTGCAAACAGTTGTATTTTTGTAGCATTTATTCTAGCGATGAATGTAGTGTATTACTGCTGTGGTAATTTGGAAAAAACTGAAGAATATATAAAAGGAAATAAAAATTCTCTATAATCCCAACCCACAAAAAAATATATTACAGAATTTATGTATTCTTTTAGTCCATTTTTTCAATGCATATTAATAGGACAACTTACTGAATAACTGGATTTTTAAAAATGTTTCTTAATAAACTTTTGTTGAAGTATCGAATATAGAAAAGTGGGCCAACTATAAATACACACTTCAATGAACTTTCAAAGACTAGCACAAGCACATCCTTGCAACCACCACAGACATCAAGAGACAGACCCTTTCTGGCTTCCTTTGTCCCCTCTCCCAGCAAGGGTGCCACTGCCTTAGCCTCACACACATAGATTATTTGTCTGTTTTTGAGTTTCACATTAAATGAATTATTCAGTAAATATTTTATAGTTTTTTTATTTCTTTTACTTCATATTATATTCGAGATTCATCTGTGTTGTTCCCAGTAACAGAGCTTTTGAAAAAATTTTACTTTATGCGGTATGACATTCAATTATATGAATATACACCATTATTTATTTTCCTTTATACTATTTCTATTAATTTCACCTTTACTGATATAAAATTCACATACCATACAATTCATCCACATAAATTGTACAATTCACTGGGAATTTTAGTATATTCACAGATAGGTGCAGCCATTCCCACAGTCAATTTTAGAACATTTTCATCACCTCAAAACAACTCCATTCTTCTTTATCCGTCTGGGCCCCCCTCCCTGCCCCCAAATTCTCTCCAGCCCTAAGCAAGCACTAATCTACTTTCTATCTCTGTGTATTTGCCTATTCTAGACATTTCATTAAAATGGAATCATATAATATGGGATGTCTTGTAACTGGTCCCCTACACTGATTTTAGATATTTGTGTTATTTCCAGGTTTGAGATTACTACTGTGTATGATATGTATCCATGAAAACAAATCTCTCACATAGAGATACATATTTCTATTGGGATATATACCTAAAAGTGGAATAGCTGGGACATAGGTTCTGCTTACTATTACTGCAATAATAATTAATAGTGTCTAATAGTTTTTCAAGTTTATACACCCACCAGCAATGTATAATGAGTTATTGCTCCATACCCTCATCAACATTTGGTGGTTGTGTGTTTGCAATTTACATTTCTCTAATGAAAAAAAAGCATCTTTTCATGTGATTATTAGTCTTTTAGAGATCGTCCCTTAGTAAAGTGCCTGTTGGTTCTTTACCCCATTTTTCTATTGAGTTGTTTGTCTTTTTCTGCTTCATTTATATACTCTATATGTGAATCTATTTTCATTTAAGCACTACAAACATGCACACACACACCTTTTCATAGTCTGTGGCTTGTATTTTAACTATCTCATTGTTAAATTTCACTGAATGTAAATGTTTAATGTTTAGTGAAATCTAACTTATTAGTCTTCCTTTATGGTTACTACTGTTGCTGTCCTGTTTAAGAAAGCATTGCCTGCAAGGACATTCCCCTATGTTATCCTCTAAAAATATACTGTTTGCTTTTGAACATTTAGATCTGCTAACTATGTGAACTGATGATGTGCAGCAGGGTTAAATATTTTTCATATAGCTAGCCAATTGACTCAGGTCCTTTCCTTGAAAAGACCATCCTTTTCCCACTGCTCTGCAATTTCACCTTTGTCATAAATCAGTACAGATACTGGGATTAGTAAACAAGGGCTTTAAAATAAAGATGACACATGTAGTAAAGAATCTTACTAAAAATAAGATACAATAAATGAAGAGATAGGGAATTTTAAGAGAGATACAGATAATATTTTTTAAAAGAACAAAATGGCAGTCCTAGAACTGGAAAATACAATATCTGAAATTACCTGATGGGATTATCAGTAGGTTGGACACAATAGTAGAAAGGATCATCAACTTGAAGACAGGTCTCCAGAAATCATACATCCATGACTCACACAATAGTATCAGGTGCTCTCTAGCATACTTGAAATTGAACTCCCAGAAGGCAAAAAGAGTATGGGGAAGAAAAATATTTGAAACAATATTCACAAAAATTTTCCAAATTTGACTGAATATATTTTATCCAGGATATTTGCTTGTTTTTAATGAAGAGGTGATCCCAATAACCTAGCTTGCCATGAATGGAATTTAGAAGTTAGCATAAATAATACAAAGTTTTACATCTACATGAATAAGCAGCAGGACATTTTACAGTTGCACAAAATGTAGAAAAATGCTTTGTTGGGTGGAACTGTCCTGAGTATTGCTGAACTTTTAACATAAATACTGCCTGCCTGGTAAAGGACATTAGTACCACCCAATCATAATAATACCAAATGTTTTCACAGTTTTTCAAAATCTGCCCTCAGCATGTAGTGTGGACCTGCATACACTGTGAACCCCTCTCTCACACGATCTGGTGCTGCCTCCTTTCTCCAAGCCCTTTCTAACCTGGGCTTCTAATGCTCACAGCTCTCAAACAACACTGGCCTCTTTCCATCTCAGAGCTTTTAGGATTTCTTTTCCATCTTCCCAAGTACTCCTCCCCCAAATACCGTATGACTGACTCTTTTCTCCTCCTCTGGCCTTTGTTTAAATGTCATTTTCTCAGTGAGATTTACAGATTAAGGAAAACAAAACCAAACACAAAACTTATTCAATCTTTTCCCCATCCCTACTTGATTTTTTTCAGATATAATTGATGTATGACATTACATTAATTTCTGTTGTAAACATGATTCTGTATTTGTATATATTGTGAAATGATTGCCACACAGTTATAAAATGTTTTTATTTGTGATGAGAACTTTTCAGATCTACTCTCTGCAACTTTCTAATACAGAATACAATACTGTTAACTTTGGTCACTATACTGCACTTTACATCCCCAGGGGTTATTTATTTTATAACAGAAGTTTATATCTTTTGCCAACCTTTACCCATTTATTTATATCTTTTATTTGAAATGCTGTGTATTTTAATTATTTAATTTGCTTATTATGTCACTTTCCACAACACTAGAATACAAGTTCTGGTGAGAGAGGTGGGGAATTCACCAATTTTGTTCTCTTTGGTTTCTTCAGTACCTAGAATTTGTAAAAACTTGTTAACATTTTTCTCAGGGCTTGCTTATGGACAACCTTAATTTCTTCCTAATAACCCTTATATCTTTTAGGGTATTTTTTCAGTTTTTCATGAATAAGAAAGCCCTGGTAGTATTCTAATAATTTCTACATTTTTAAGGTATGTTTGAATTTCTCAGCATCAAGGAGTATAATAGTAAAAGCTCCAGGCTTTTACCACGGAGAATAAGAAATGTGATATGGTTGTTTCCAAAGCAACAAAAAGCTCCACCTGATTAAGTACACTGAGGGCTTCTCCTTATTAGATTGGCATATCCAACCAAACCACTTAGCGCTAGTATCACAAAGAAATTTGCCTCTTCAGTTAGAGAGTAATTTGTACCAACTATTTTTCTTCAGGTGGTCAGACTTCAGGATGGATGATGAACTTCCAAAAAGGAAAAAGATGGAAAATCATCGAATTACCATAAACTGTGCTGCCAACCGAATAAGTGTTTCTAAAGGCTCAAGAGAGATTATATTCCTGCATTATATAATCTACCAACAACCTACTTACCTACTGTCTTAATCTAGTTTATTCTTGAAAGCAGAGCCTGAGACAAAGGGAGACATGTTCTACTTGGGAATGTGATCCTAGGGAGCGGGAATGAGAGAGACAGGAGTGAAGGGGCGGGGCGAGGCGGGGAGGAAAGAAAATACAAGCAAAACAAGGTAGTATAATCCAGTGTCCACCTCTGTTAATGGTTCTCAGGGAAGAACCTTCTCAGAAGTCTTACTAAACTTTGTCTCAGACTGTCTGCCTGAGGGTACAAAGGGAGAAGCAGTTCTCGCTCCTACATGTTGAGGGCTGCTCCCATTAGGGCTAACACCCGACCCCCACCCCCATGCAAAGCCAGGGGAGCCTCACTGGTACCAGGGCATCCCACATTGCCACATCAGAGAAGCCTTGGGACAGGAAGCTAGATTCCTGCTACGTGCTGGAAGTGAGGCACTGCCAGCACAGAGCAGGGCCAAGCCTGCCTGGAACTGTTCACCAGAGCTGCGGCGGGAACTGGAGGTTGAAGAGATGTGAGACAGTGCACACGAGTGTACAGAATGTGCTGTCAGCATTGTCCAGCTCTATTTCCTCCTCTTTCTGTAATTAAAATTTCAGTGTCCAGAACAAGGATGGCAGAAGGGTTATATTTATTAGAGGGATGTTTATAAGAAATAGAACATGAACATGACAAATAGAACATGAGAACTTGGAAAAAATTTTAAATATTCCATTTGAAAAATTGGGTTATTGGTGAAAGATATTGTATATCTTCTAAATTCATGTAATCTCTGAAAATCATGAATTGTTTGGAGAAATAAAATTAACCTTTTGTTACGCCTCTGAGAGCTTTATAAATCAATGTCATTTACTTTTCCTAAAGTACTGTTTTCTACTGTCACATAGCACTCGTGATACAGAGCTTACAACCAATGAAAGGACAGTGGTACAAAGAGAAGGGAAAGTATTGGGATGATTTTTATCACATAAAGCGTTGGCATTAACATTGGTTGGGAAGGGGGGAAATTGCATGCTTTGATCTAGCCTTCCTCTAGGAGGCTCCACCTTACCAGAAATAGTTCTCTCTGTGCCTGCACCCCTGTGATGTCATCATCCTTTCTTACTTAATCTGGAATTGCTACCAATAGGATAGAACCTTTGAGTTACTCAATTCAATACATGTTGAGTTACTATTTGCTAAATATAGGCACTATACATTTGAGCAAGACATAATATAAAACATGATATCCAGAAGTTTCAGAATACATATTCTTTTAAGGTTTGTCATTCAACATTAACCAAGACTGACCATTTGATTGATCACAAATCAAGTCTCAACAAATTTTGAAAGACTAGAATAATATTGAGTATAAGTTAAGCTAGAAATCAATTATAGAAAAACAAAAAATTTCCAAATACTTATAATTTAAGGAACATACCTTGAATGATCCGAGTCAAACTAAATCACAGTGGGATTTAGAAAATATATTGAAATAATTTCTAATGGAAATATAACATTAAAACTTGTAGGATTCTGTGAAAGCAAACACTTAAGGAAAATTTATATCTCTAAATACATTAAAAATTTCACAGAAAGTTTGGCTATTGATATTTCCAGGGGGCAGGGGGTCAGTGTTGAAGCAGCTTTTCAAACAGATAACAGACAGCAAAGGACTGGTCACAGAGGGAAGGAAACAAGGTGACCAGTTGCCCAGCCTCTCTAGGTTTAAGCATTGGATCACGTTTCAGGAGAAGCTTAAGCAGAGCAGAGAGACTCTTGCTGCGTGGGGGAGACCAAAGATTGGAGTTGAATGAGACTGAGCTCGAGTTTTTCAGGGCAGAGTATCAGTGAAGAGGGAAGTATGAAGATAAAAACAAGTCAGTGTATAGATGCCTTTGTGTCCATTGCTGAACACTAAGCTTAACAATTCCCAAAACTTGCACAAGAACGGGAAACATTTATCCTCCATCCAGCCATCGTAGAGAGTCCTCACTCAGAACTGCAGACATTCACGGGGATCCCGGGAAGGTTCACCTTGTGTAAGTCTGACAGTAAAATCTGCACTAGACATGCCACCAAAAAGTAAATCCACAAACAAGCCTCAATATTATGAAACTGATACACAAGTAAGTTAACTACCCGTCAGAACAAATCGAAGTATGTTTTTTCAGGTCCTCGAAGGTGCATGTGCAAAAATAGATTTACAAGGGATCTATTTGGGGAAATACCTCTGAGGATTGAAATAGAAAGGGAGGCAGAGGAGGAAGTTTTCAGACTGTTGCATGTCTAACCCCTTCGAAGGAAAGAGGGAAAGAAGGAGGGTGGAGTAGCCAGGGTCTCAGACTGTAACACAATTCCAAGAAAAGTTTAAGGTCAGGCTGATGAAACTTGCCCCTCAGAGCAGTCCCTTGCACACAGGAAAGGGCCTGCATTAGTGTGCCGGATCTGCTCATTGTTCTGATGGGAAAAACTCATGGGAACTGTAGCCTTGGCATGAAAAGATCACTGGATTCAGAGAACAGCTGATGGGGCCCTCAGTCAGGTAAGCTCCCCTCAGCAAGAGATCTGGGTGGTGCACCTTCATCACTACCAGAGTCCGCTCCTTGTACTATTCAGCACTATTCAGGGAGGAAGACCTCCATGATTGTGGCCAGAGCGTTTATCTTCCTGAGGAAAAGCTTAGCAGAAGACAGTTGATTAGAAGGATGGAACTACATCTACTATCACTGATCTCAGGGCTGCCAGTGGGCCTCTTCCTCTCCTTCCTCCACTATGCCATTTTGGAACCCCCTCACACTTACAGTCACCTCAGGAGTTCTTAGTGGTTTACTTGATGATGTGATGCAAACTTTCATTCTTGAGAGTTCTGAAACCTTAGTAGTCATCCCCATCTTGGACTGAGTTTGCTCTGTGTATCTGTTCAGTGACAGTGGGACAAAGGAGCTACAGGAGGCACAGAGGCACCAGGCAGCTCACCTGGGATCCAGACATACCCCTCCCTGTCCCGTTGTGGAGAAGCAGCCCAACCCACTGCTCGTGGCAGTCAGTTACTCTGTGAATATGGTGACTTCTCACCTGCACACTCCTGGGCACAAGGAGTACAAAGTGTTCTAGTAACAACCATTCCTTGTAGTTCAGTGGGACCCACTGTAGCCCCTGGCAAGAGTCTGCCCTCTTTGGGAACCAAGACCTCTAAGCCTGCAAAGGGCAGAGTTGCAGGGCAGAAAGCACAAATAAGTCCAATAAAAAAGTCATTGGGAGTGTTTTAGTGGTGCCACTCCTTGTGCCACCACATTTGACTCACAATCCTTTTGGGCCCAGAGCCCCATAGAGTTCCGGGGTTTAATGCATACACTGTGTTTTGAAAGATGGCAGCCCATCCTTTCAGAAGGTTGCCTCAAAGCTCATACTTCAGCTGTGCCCTTAGAAGACTATTGTAGCATTCCATGAGTGGCTGCATGTAGAAGGCTGCAGAGTGGTGTAGTATGTGGTAAGAACAAGGGATCCCATGGTCATGCGCCCACTCTTGCACCTTCATCACCGTGCAGTGGTCGAGTACTGTGTAAGTCCTTCGTAGTGGTGCTAGCTGAAGCTCTGCAGGTAGTAACGGCAAACCCAGACCTGGACCAGGTTCTATCCTTGTCAAAACAAACAACTGGCCCTTCCAGAATGGCAGAGACCCACTATAGTTGACTTGCCATGAGACCATTTAGTCTACTTGGGGAACAGTGCCATATTAGGGGCTCAGTGATGGCCTCTGTGGCTGACAGCATGGACATTCAGAACCTACAGCAGCTGGATCAGCCATGGTAAGTGAGAGTCCATGAGTTGGGCCCATTTATAACATCTACCTCTGCCACTATGTCCTCATCATGCCACTTCAGGGTCTGACAGCAAAGTCTGCCTAATCTCAACTGGCCAAGTGCTAAGTGCCCTGTCCATGATGGCTGCTTTCTGGTGGGTCCTAACACGTGAAATAAAAACATTCCAACTCTATGTCCACTCCCACATGTCTGTCCACCTACATCTACATCAGACTTTCTTATACTTTCCCAGTCTTTTTCTATGCACACCCCTGAGCAAATGGCCAAACCACTAGCCACTGCCCAGAAAACTGTACTTTCTCATCCAGAACCAGTTCTCCACACAAAGTAGATGATGGAGTATACCATTCACAGCTCCATGTGTTAGAAATATTTGCCCTTTCCATTATCCTTCAAGGCCACTTCTGGACATAGCTATAATGTACCCAATTGTGTCTGATCCTCTTTCCTAATTGGAATAGAAAAGAACACCTTCTGCAGATCATTGGCTACATACCTACATACCATGTACCTGAGGTCTTTTTTATTGAATTTATTGGGGTGATATTGGTTCACAAAACCCAGCTCTTCTTAATTTCTAGTCATGAACAATGTCACATCTGCACAGCAGCTGCAATCAGGGCTAATGCTAGGTTACAGTCATTCTAAATAGTTCCTTCAAAGCCCAGACTGGCAAAATGAATAGAATAATGATGAGGACAACCAATAAGCTCCACCTTTGCCATCCCAGCCAAATGTTTTTGACTTCCTTTATTGGCTGGATAAGGAGGAGTTTCAGTGATTTCCATGTGGCTTTTCCCACTGTGATAAGCCTTACCTAAAATGCCAGAGGCTTTATGTGTGTTACAGTCATTTCCAATTATACACTGAGACACTGTAGACATGAACAACTGTGGGGCCACAGACTTAGTGTGTCCGTTGTGAGCCAGACTTTAGCTGGTACCACAGGGCCTGGTTCACATGAGCCCCCAATTTAATGGAGTGTCACTATGCTGCTTTGGGTTTTCAGATTTCAGTGTCAACGCAGACCCTATGTCCAGTAGTCCTTGAAGTGCCTGGATATTCCCCTCTCTCACTGTACTATCATCCTAGCAGTTGGCCACATGTCCATTTAGAGAAGAACTTGGAGATTCATCAGAGTATATTCCTGCCACTGTACAGCAGGGTCTTCTGAAGGACCCAGCCACCACTTCCATCTGTGGGTTCTGTATCTGAAAACTGCCTCAGGTCCAACTGAACAAGGGACTGTGATATGTCATTGGGACCAATGCCTTCATGCTCTTCTTTTCCCATTTTTACCCTACTGGTTACAAATGTTAAGCAGCATTTTTGTTGCTTGCCCATCTGTTTTGGCTATAGCAAGTAGTACAATCAGTCACTTCCAAAACATCCTGGGATTCAAACCCCTTTCATTGACCTTCCAACTTCACCAGTCATTACAGTGATCATGGCCTCCTCTTGGCTTTGGGTAGTTAAGCACCAGTCCTCTGTTGCTTCAAGGCACATCACCCCAGAATGACATTTACAAGCCCGGCTCTGTGAGCATCTCATCCATGGTCAGCCCTGATCTAGAGAGGTCAGCCACCACTGAACCCATGATGCTCGTGCCTTCTCACAGGCACATTCTCAGTGGCCTTAGTGAATCATGTGCCTTCTGGGCCCTGGTTTGAAACACAACTGTGTGGTGGGTTTTCTGGACTGATGATATATCCAGTCCAGCACAACCACTTCTCTCAGCCTCTTTATTACTTCTCCTACAAGTTACCGTACCACTGGGCATTTCCACTTCACTCAGTGTTGGCCAAAATGATATCAGGCTTCATATCCTAACAGTAAATTTGTCCCATCCCCTGGGGTTCTTGCTAAGATGATAAATCCTGTGTCCCAGTAAAGGACCCCTAAATAAATAAGTTCTTGTTTCTGTAGTCTTATATTCTGGTCCCCTAAATAAAGCACCCTCAAAATCCAATCTCAGGAATACTTTCCAGGCTCGTAGTGGTACAGGCTATTTCTTGTAGCTC